AGTTTCTACTAGGCAATATATATATGCAATAGGGGGAAATTATTAAAACTGGAGCAGACAAGCCCTGGAGCAGCTGTGCATGGCAACCAATCAGCTTATCTCTTCAGTTTGTTCAGTTAAGATTAACCAATGAAAGAGAGAAGCTGATTGGTTGCCATGGGCACCTGCTCCAGATTTTGTCTGCTCCAGTTTTAATAAATTCCCTTCAATGTGTTAAAAGGGATTTCCAGGAAAACTGGGACCCCTCTATTTGTGAACACTTGTCTTCTGAGTTTTACCTTAAAGCACCCAAACTTTTTTCAATAATGAATCCAGATTAAACAAATATACATCGCCAAGCAAAGTATTTCTTTACATTTTTGCCAAAGCAAGCACAGTCATCTTGTTTCTCAACAGCTGGCTCCAACTTTTTCAACTCAGCTTCTTTGAACTTCCTGTCCAGTACAAGATCACTTGAGATCTTGTTCAGAAGGGATAGCACATTTTCCAGCAGAAGAGCTAGGGGAGTGTCTGTGTTTGTGGAGACACACAGCTTACTAGCTCACACAGGGATGGCTAGAGGACCCTGCATGGGTAAGGAGCCCCCCTAAAACAGGAAATCAGGGCCAGTGCCCAAGGGGCCATCTAATTCTGCAGGAAAGTAAACTTTTAAACATCAAAATGCAACATCCATTGTAATTGATGTAATCAGCATTTAAATTAGCCTAAAAAACCTTTGGACTTTAATATCACCTAAAACCTAAATGTTTTCCTAAACAAATGACAGCCCCTCAAATAACTGTTAAGCTAAATTGCATTAACCCCAACAAAGCTGCTCCATTGCACAGTTGTGCCCCCCTCTGGTGTTTACATCCTCAACTGCCAAATTTTATTTGAATCTGGCTCAGACTTGATTGGAGCTGTGTACGCAGGTTCTCCGATCTCCGTATATGGTTCTATTTAAAGTGACATTAAATTCAGGAGTTTAATCTTAAAAATACATTTAAGTACCTTTAACTATTAACAAAAATGTATCTTATTTGTGTATCACTCAGCTGTAGATCCTCAAATCATCTCTGAATTGGTGCTGACACTGTCCTGCCTTCTGGAGGGTGGCTACTTTTGTTCCCCATGGTGCCTGTGTTGTAAAGTAGCCACCACTCCAAGCTCACTCCCTTGATAGACTAAAATACCAATGCAAATTAGTAAACTATACATGAGATTGTAGTCCATCACAGGAGTAGCCCTCCAGAAGGAAGGACAGTGTCAGCACCAATTCAGAGATGATTTGAGGATCTACAGCTGAGTGATACATTTTTGTTAATAGTTAAGGTAATTTAATGCATTTTTAAGATGTAACTCCTGAGTCTCCTGTCACTTTAAGTCAATGGAACTCATTGTGGAGGATGTTATTGGCCATCTAGGCATTTTGACTGGATTAATAGGTAGGATTTAGATCCAGGTCAAAGCTTTGTCCTAAAGTTAGGGAAGTTGAGCCCTCAAGCAGAACCAAGATCAGTAGACTTTACTGTCTAATAAAGGGAGTAGCAAGTATTTATGTTGTGCCTTCTCTACTATACTAAAGATAAAGATAGAGCAGGTTTGTCCAGCACTGGGGCTCATTCAAAATGTATGTGTTATGATAATGCAACACATTATACCCAGAAGGTGTGCGCTTGGCATGGATCACAGTTATTATAGTAAACATGGAAATTTGCATGGATGGAAATGTTGTCCCATTTTCTGGTGCTATCATCCTCAGAACACTAGGAAAACAGGGTAGTAAAGTGTGTCGATCCAGTAAGCACTTCAAAGTGTAAATGTACTGACTATGAGTGGAAGAGGTGGGTATCCAAATTATAGGGATAACTTTGGCTTGCGGATTTCAAATAAAATTCTTCTGTTATCAATCAGTGTACATATTCCATTAAACATGACATAAACGAATCCATGAATAAGCTATTTAAAACTCAATATAAACACAGGAAGGAATGAAACTTTGCTACAAATGTCAAACACTTATGAACATTACAGATAGCAATAGTAAAATTGCCACCACCAGTCTCCAGTGAGTTTATGGAAATAAGCATGTGGCCTAATAATTTATTTTATCACACAAATTTAAAAAAAAGATTATTAAGGCTGGAAGCCTGCACGATTTCAGCTCTGATAACAGCCCACAAAAGGTGAAGTAACCTCGGAGCCGGAACACCAGTTTCAGCAGTCACATTGCTGTTGTGTTTAATATCCTGTCATGCTGTTTTATGAAGAAGAAAACAGGATGGAAATGACAATCAGTAAAGCAAAACCCCAGGGATGCAGCAGCATCTGGCTCGTCTCCTAACGTCACACCGTGACATTAGTTATCTTTCACTGGAGAAGAACCAATATCAGCGTGTACAAACGATAAGGGCATTCTTATATAATGTAGTGTGAATAGACAGAACACACAGATCACACTCACAGGATTGTACCTAGTCACCTCTAGAAATACAAGACTTGTCATTAGTCATCAGTCTTGTTGGTAATCTCTAAAACTGGATTGTTGTAGAGGAGAACTACTAGGGGAAAATATGATCTTTTTTCAATGTTGGTTACCATCCAACTCCATTTTATACACTTGAAACTCCTCCCATATGCCAATTAAGGTGATTTATTGATCTTATCAATGAGTAACCCTAAACACACATAATAGGGGTCCTGCATCTTCCATCAGTTGTCAGAGAAAGCCCTACTTCCAGCAAGCTATAGATGAATGAGAAAATGTATCTGGACATATTTACTGAAAAGGTGAAGGTAAGAAGAGCCTACTTCTTTCACACTTTCACTATGTCTGATTTCAGATTCCATCTAAAGAAGAGCCATTTATACTTCCCATTAAAAAAAAGACCCATTATACTATATCCAGGGGCATCCCTATACTTTTCGCCGCCTAAGGCTGGGGGGGG